TCTCATCATTCCATCATAAACTCTAGAACACTTCTATAAATATTAAATTAAAGATTCATAGCCTTTTCAAGCCATTAATCTCACTAAAAGGCTACCCACCACCATCACTTAGTGTTTATACTATGAATTTTATGATAAAATGGCTAAGAAAAGACAATTAAATTAAGTAAAACAGTTGTGGAGTGAAGTGTGGGTCGGCCAAGCAAGTGACTAAGGAGAGTAGAGTGACTGGCCAAGCATGAAGGAGGGAGTAGTTAAGATGGTTGCAAGTGAGTAGCCCCTCATTCTTTTCGTCAACTTTTCTGATTTCAAATTTATATTAAATAATTTATATAAATATTTAATTGGTTATAGAATGAAGAAAATTGATGTGTTTTGTTATTGAATTTTGAAGAAAAATTTGTTGGTGGAGCATGGTAGTTAACCAAATTAGGATAGGTTGGATGATCCTTCCCAATATTACTATTTGAGTGAGTATGTCTAGAGGTATCGATATTTAACACAACCCAAAAACTCAACCCAAATATCTTGGGTTTAGGTCAACCCATTTAAAAAATGGGTCGAGTTCAAGTTTCAAATTCGAACCATATTACAAATTCTGGTCAAGTTTAGGTCAACTCAAAGCCTCAAAATCAACCTACCAACTCGCTCTCGACCTCCTTCTTGCATAATGCACTCGCACTCCCGGTCACCCGCACATGCTTGCCCACACATTATACATGCTTGCATGCATGCCAACTCACCTGTTCCCTCTCACCCTCCCATGCTCGCCTGCACCAACTCATCCCAAACACATCAACTCATCGCACTCATAGTTACCCTCGCTAGGTCAACAATTTATGTTGATTCGACCTAGATTCGAACCGGGTTGAGTTCGACTCTAGTTCTATGACCCATTTTCCTAATTGGGTTGGGTTCAAGTCATCACAGTTGATGGCTGGTCATTTTCTGTTTGGACCCAAACTCAACCCGAAACACATTTTAACACCCCTAAGTATTTTTTTTTTTCTTTTATGTTTTTTTTTTTTTTTTTTTTTTTTTATTCCTACACCAGATTTTTTTTTTTTTGTTAGTTATTCCTACACCAGAAAATTATAATCATAATTTCCTAGCAATCATATCCATCATTTAAGGGATTTGTGAGAATCAACCAAACTAGGTTAGAACTAACCTAACTTTAGATAAACTTTACTTAGGTGACTTCAACTCCTTTAAATAATTCAAAAATCTCCATATATATAGTATACCCCCTAAGCTTTAATCTTCATATATTTTTTTAGGGCTCTTATTCACCAAAATCCAACATTCTATAAGCCCTAAGTCACTTACTGCCTTTAGTCAAAAAGACCCAATGTTAAAGACAAAGTTCTGAGTCTTTTTTATATTAATATGCTTTCTATCAAGAGCTTTAAGAACAACTACTTTGTTGCTACTGACTTAGGCCTCAGCTAGGGTGAGGTCTAACCCTATCTCAAAACTTCATTATGTGTATTGGGTAAACCTTCTATGAACTGTTATAAACTGAATGTTGGTGGTTTTGATAAAGGGTACACCTTGGGGTGTGGTGGGATCATCAGAGACAGTCAAGGGAATATTATTTTGGCTTTTGCGGTTCCTTTACATAATGATAATTTGCAATTTATTATGCTTAATGCTATCCTTTATGAGCTGAGAATTTGTATGTCTCTTGATATTCCTAACATTGGAATTGAGGTTGATTCTATTTATAGTATTCAAAGCATTAACAATGTTGAGGAGTCGGTTTCCAATCCTGCGATTTTATATTTGGTTAGGGATATTAAACAGTTGATGATCTTTGTTAATGCTTCCTTCTCTCAAGTTTATAGGGAGGGTAATGCATGTGCTAATTGGCTTGCCAATTTTGGGAGTGAGTTAGATTGTTTCATTGATTTTATGGCTGCTAATTTACCTAGCCCTTTAAAAGGGCTCTTAAGACTGGATAAAATCATTATGCCTTATGTCAGGTGATAATTTGGCTGTTTTTCTAGTGTTTGTGGGATTTTCCCTCTTGCTGTTGTGCTATGATGTGCGTTCTTGCAGGTTGTGTTGCTTGGTTGGTTCTTTTCTGGTGGTTCTAGGACCTTGTTGCTGGTTTCCTTCTGGAGCCTTTCTATGATGGTTTTTGTTGAGATATGTGGCAATTTAGTGTTATTATTTTTCATCTGGTGGTTGGTTTTTATCGCTGTGTTCTGATGCGGGATCCAGGTTTTATTAGGATATTTTTCTTCTATCATTTTGTCTTTGCGCTGTTTGGTGGGTTTTAATTGGCCTGCCTTTTCGTGGTCTCTGGTGGGGCCTGCCTTTTCCTTGGGAGCTCCATATGAGTAATATCTTCTCTTATTATTCTGCTCTTCAGTTAATTAACTTCCATTTATATTACCCTGCTTCTTTGTACTTTAGCTTTTTTATTTTGCAGCCTTTTTGATTCTCATGAGGATTCCTTTATGGTTGTGATCAGGATTTTTTTTAGAAAGATTGTGCTTCATGTTTCTATCAGTATCTTTTTTTTTATGCTTTTCTTTAGCATCATTAGCATGTTACTAGGTATTCTTGTATTTTGACTTAGTGGGGACTATCGGCTTATAGGTTTTCTTTTGCTTTGTTTTGTAGCTTTTTTGAGCATTAGAGAGTTGAGGGGTCTCCTTTAAGGACTTTGTAATTATTTTGTTATTTAACATGTAGGTTCCTCAGTGGGTTTTAACTAAAAAAATAAAAAAAATAAAAAAAGAGAAATCTCAAACCAATTTGTGGGGAATTAAAAAAAAAAAATTATGAAACCTCTCCCAAATTCTCCATATTCTAACTAGACATCTTAGCATTTAATTTGGTTTTATTTCATATCATTTGGACTTCTGGGGAGAAAGTTATATGGTTTTGAACATAAGAAACAAGATAATGGTCAGTTGCTAGAATTGGATTGACCGACCGTTAACGTCTTCCCTACCATGATTCCACTCAAATTTAAACTCCACAAAACATAGAATTAGTCTCCTAAGCATCCACCAATTGGATCACATCAATGATCTAAATCCCACATAAGCAGCATTAATCAACTGGTTTAAGATATCCTTTTCTAGCTGAAGGCTGTAAGTAACTTAGGGCTTCTAGACTTTAGATTTTAGTGAATAAAACCCCCACATAAATACATAAAGATTAACATATAATGTATCTACTATGGATCTAGAGTTGTTGGGAATTTTTAGAGGAGTTTTAAGTCACGCAAAAGAAGGCAATTTAAGACCAGGTTAGTTTTAACCTAATTTGGCTAATCCTCACAAAAGCCCTCAAATTATGTGTTTGATTGTTAGGAAAATAATGATTATAATTTTTCGGAGTGGAGAATGATTGATGGGTCAACTAAAAAAGAAAACATGAAGTAAAGCAAGATAAATCCTACTCCTCACTCAAGTACTAATACCATAAAGGATTAGCAACCTCTCCTAATTTGGTCGGCTACCAAGATCGAACCAATAATTTTTTTCTTCAAATTTTGAAAAATAGTAAGGTTCGAGCAACGCTAAAGGAGATTGGGAGTAGATGAAACAAATGAAAAATAAATTTTTTTTTAAATTAAATTTTTTTAGATCTTATCTAATAATTAATTAATATATTATTATTTGAAACTATTCAATTTTTAGTATTTGTAAATTCTTAATAAAAGTTTGAATAAATTTAGAAGATGCTATTATTAAAATTTAATTTAAAACTTTTATGACCTTATATTTTGAAAAATATTAAAGTTACAAATTAAAAGATAAATTTAAATAACATAATAAATAAATTTTATTTAAATTTGAAATGTGTTATTATACTTAGGTATATATACATAGAGAGAGAGAGAGAGCAATTTATATTGTATGAAAATAGTATTTAAGATTTTAATTATTATTATTAATTATTAAATTTATGATATTTTAAGTAATAAATTGAATTTATGCAGGGGTTAGATACTAGAAGTGAAGAATATCTTTTAAATAGAGAGAAATTATAATATATGGCAGTCAGAATGCAATTATATATAGGTATTAATTTGATAACAGGGTGATGATTAAAGCAAATTGTCAAGACATCTTATTACAATAATAATGCTGCTTCCTCTGATCTAATTGCATTGAATCAATTGATAATTGTCCGGTTAATGTTTATTATAAATTTCATGTAATTTTTTATCTCTTTTTTTTTAACTAAAATGGTGATTTCAAAGTTATTTATAGCATGATAATTCAACATATATACTATATAAAGTTCTTGAATAACATATGAATGAAATAACTAAATGACTAGACGAAAATATTTGCATGCACATTTTGATTAATGAAATACACCCCCTTATGTGATAAAATATACCCGCATGTCAATTATTTTATTTAATAACAAAATTACGCATATGTTAAATATGCCATTTTTTATTCTACAAATCTTTTTTTTTTTTTCTATTCAAACTTCAATTTATTTGCTCGCTCTTTGCTCATTCTAATTCAAACAAAGGCCTCATAATAAACCTAAGAATTCTATTTTACATCTCGGGATTACAACACAGTTTCAACATTATTTCTAAATATTCAGAATACATAATGTGTCTTTTATTGTGGTGCATTTTAGACTAAGGCTTCGTCTGTGACGATTTTTAACTGCTTTCTAAAGTAGCTTTATAGTATTAAAAATTTATTTTTTGTGCTATAAAATTGCTTCAAGAAGCAGTAAGAGAACCGTCCCAAACAAAACCAAAGGATTAGTTTGGGACAATTTTCTCACTGCTTCTTAAAGCAGCTTTTTAATATAAAAATTTTAATTTTGTACTAAAAAGTTTCGTTAAGAATCAGTGAGAAAGCCATCCGAGGCTTCGTTTAGGATAGTTTTTTTACTGCTGTCTAAACCAGTTTTCTAGTTCAAAAAATTGTTATTCTAAAAAGTTGCTTTATAAAGTTATAAGAAAGCTAAAACATAGTTTTAGAACTAAAAATTTTCATACTAAAAGGTTGTTTTAAAAAGCAATAAAAAAGCCGTCCGAAACGAGCTTTTTTTTTTTTTTTTTTGTAAAATCTCACTAATAAGTTAATGAAAGCATATTTATATACAAAATGTGAGGGCATAACTTGTCAGGTGAATCAAACTTACGCCATGTTTAACATCGAGTTCCTGGGAAAAATAATTCCACTCCATTCTCCTTCACTTGGAAGTGAAAGTTGCTCGCTTTGTCTGTGTATTGGCTGTCGTTGAAAGTTCCTTTCTTCAAAACGGTCAACTGAGAAAAAAACCAGTCAGCAAAAACAAGAGGAAAGAAAAAATTTTGAGCTGGAAAGCCATTTTATTTGAATGTTTGTAATGAGCGCAGTTTGTTTATTATAGAGGACTTCTAAAACAAAACTTCGAATTCAAAAGAAATTGAGAATGTGATAGGAAATACTTGATTTCAAGTATTTCCTAATCACTCTGGCAACAAATCACAAATCCAACCGCTGTCCACAGCAGGAAAACAGCCCAAATCTGAAGAAAAACAGAAAAAAACTGCAGGAAACGTGGAGAAAGGACTTGTATTTTACTAATAGATGCAAGGAAAATAGCAAAGATACAAGGATCCTCTATTCGAGAGGAGGATCGCACTCTCCCAATCTCTAGAATTCGATCTAGAGCCTAGCCACCAAAGAAGAACAAGAAAGAACTACAAGCAAATTCAACATAACCCTAATCTATCCTTTCTCTACCTATTTAATGCATATAATTCAAAAATAACATAAAAGGACTTAATTGCCCTTGCTTCCCCTCCTTTTGGCTCCAAGATTCAATTTGAAAAACAAGTGGACCCCACCTATTGCTTCCCTGCTGTGTCCGCCGGCTCCCTGGCTCCCTCCGCCTGTTTTCTTCTCCCGTAAACTTTTATAGCCGGTCCTCTATGGACCGGCTGGACCGGTCCTCTCTGGACCGGTCTAACAGAATGATAAGCACCACGGATCCTATTCATCATTATATTTTCTTATTGGAAAAAAGATTAAACAACATGGTTTTGTTACATATAAAATCATTGCGCTAATACTTTCAAGGGAAAACTAAGCGCGGAAAATTTTCCTTGGAAAGCTTTAGAAGGGAAGAGGATGTTAAGCCTCATATGGTGGCGAAAATGAAAGAATAATTGATCGCAGGCAAAAAAGAACAGTCCTTAGATGGGTTTCTTAACATTAATCGATTTAGATTGGCAGCAGGTGATGCATATGGATTTTCTTTCCTTTTTTTTATGACTATTTTATATTCCAAGCCTAAAAGCGACTACATCCTTAGATATAGCTTGAGATATAGAGTTGAAGTTGCAAGGTCATGACTACTCACTCTTCATCTAAGCCCATCTTTTAAGCAATTCAAAGCATTTCAAACTGTCCTACAATTGTAAGACGGTCTGCCTACAGATGCCATGCCCTCATACACTCATTCTCGCACATCTCTCCAAGTCCTTCGTTTTTCTATCTTGTTTAGCAGCCTCTTGCAAGCTCAAAATACAATGTTGGGATGCCCCCTTTAAATTATGATTGAACACCACCAAGGATATATGGAAATTCAAAACCTAATATGAAGCCCTGGAATAAAGTTCAGTAATATCCTTTATGGTTCTGGCCTCCACAGGGCATACATATGGTTGAAAATCAAAGTATCGTTTGCAAAGAACAAATAAGAGTATTTCGATGCACCCCTGGATGCAACAACAATTCATTCAAATGGGAAATGGCCATCCCTTTTAGATTTTTAAAGCACGCATGACAATGCCTCAATGTAAATGATCAAGAGAGAAATCAACAATGAATCACCCTAGCAGATATCCCTATCTAGATGTATGTTCCCAAAAGTCCCTACCTTTAACAATAAATGAATATTTTACAGTCATCGTGCAGAGCTTAACTAGCCTAACCGGATGCCCAACCTTCTAAGCATGCCTAAAAAAAAATACCATTCCATTCTGTCATATGCCTTGCTCCTACCCAAGCTTGATAGCCATGGACCCAACTGCTTCCCCTCCTATTGTTATGATCAATTTCAAAAGAACCAGTCACATTGTCAGAGAGATCAACTTTATTGGCATTATGAAATACTGCAAGGAAGAAGAGGCTTCAACATATTGACCAACACCTTTGTTACGATTTTATGCAACACATTTGCAAAGCAAATGGGCCTTACAAATAATGGGACAAGTCCATAGGAAACGAACACTAGAGAATAAGAAGATTATGATTTTTTATTAAAGTTAAATCATAAATTAAAATTAATTGCTCAGCTCATTAGTTTAAATTTTAAATGTATTTCAAAATTATTTAGTTATTTTAATTTGATTATTAATTAAATTGGTTGTTCAAATTTAAAGATTTAATTTTAAATCAATTAGTCCAATTAATTAGGGTTTTCATTTGTTTTAATTAATTATGATTAAATTGTAATTTCATCATTTTTTAATTAATTAAAGTTTAGTAAATTTATTTAATTTAAGTGAATTTATTTTTTAAGTTTTATTTTAAATATGATAATTAATATTTAATTAATTGATTAATTAATATTTTAATGAATTTAAATTGTTTAATTAATGTTTAATTAATTAGGACTCTCCAATTTTTTAATTTGGTAGCCTCCTCGTCTAATTTCGGAAGCCTTCCGGCTCCCCCTCACCATGAAAGGAGGTCGAGAGGGCGCTTGCCCTTTCAAGTATGCTCAGCTGGATCAAATCAACGACAAGAGCTTTGAGAGAGCGAATCAACCCTGGTATCGGCCTTCGAGCACCTGTTTGCAAATTTGGTATTTTCCTAAATTTTCGGTAGCCTTTCAGCACCCCCTTCCTGTGAGGGGAGGCTGGGGAGGGCGCTTGCCCTTTTGATCGGATCAACTGGATCAAATAGACGGCCGAGGGCTTCGGGGGATATATCAACCTTGAAATGCGTCTTCAGATCTTCCAATTGATGATCATGGGGCCTGCCTTTTTATAATCATTCTTATCATTATTAATTATAGTAATTATTATTAATAATTTTTAATTAATAATAATTATAACATATAATACACCTCTCTTCTTCCTCAATCACTTGGGTTTCAAGAAGCAGAGAGGCCAAGCACCGGATGTGGGTTTCGTTTATGGGAGAAGGTAGATCGGGAACAAAGGGCTCAGCCAGATGCAGGTCGCATTCACCTAATGAGGTGGACGGTGAAAGAGGGGCTCAGCCAGAGGCGAAGCCCGATTGAGCTTGGATTGTGGACTGGGACTGGACAGCGTGTCTACAGTAGGCGGATCGAGAAGTTTGGGCTCGGGAGATCAGTCGTTCGTTCCCATATAGAACGTGTGGGAGGCAGACAAGTGGCTTGAGAGATCGGAATCGGTGAGTTTGGTCGGATCGAAGGTTTTAGCCTTGCTCGGAATCGGACACATACGTAGGAAGGAGATCGGAGAGGGTCTGTCGCGTGGATTCGTGCTAAGGCGGATGGCGACTGGGGCTTTCATCTAAGCACGTAAGGATCGGAGCAAAGAGGACGAGAATAGGTGCTCGGTTCTAATAGAGTTCGAATGTTTTTGGGCCTTTGGATCGTGCCGCATGAGGGAGTTTTTGTGCCGTGAAGAGCGAACGTGGGGAGTTATGTGGAGATCGTGGGATTGTAAGAGCCGGCTAGTTAAAGATCAATACTCATCAGCCCAACTCTAGGCATTAGCAAGAATTTGATTCTAGATTCAACTCATAGATTTAACAACAAGCCAAACCAAATCCTAAAGAAAATTAAACACGAATTCGCCGTATCACAAGAGCAAGTAAACACTCACAACACAATAATATATGTAGTACTCAAAAACATAAATATAAAGAAAATTTGAAGATTCTCATGATATCTGAAGAAGACACTTGAGCAATAAGGATCTAACCCAATCCCATACCTCAAGGGATAAAGAACCAGGAAAAAGCCGAAAATTCCCGCATAAAATGTAAGAATTAAGGGTTACATCAACAAACCTAATCCTAGAGAATCAAAGAAAAGAGATTACCACGCAGCATTTCCACAGTTTGACCATGTCATCAGCCTCACCATAGAACAATCGAGAACAGGAGGGAAGGGTTCTATGGCATTCGAGTGAACATCATGCAGAGAAGAGACTCACAAGAATGAGATACCAAAATACATGAATTTGTTGGTGAACCGTCAAGTTCAGTAAGAACCTTTGATCAACTGAAAATTGAAGTTTCTCAGATCATGCATTAAGATAACGCCTAAATCTAGCTATTTGCTCATGTTCGGATTTTTTCATCAAGATGCTTTGGCTTTTCTAAGAGAAATCTGCCAGTAATAGGCAAGGGTTGCTTGTTGACTTACAGGCTAAGAAACCTTTGTTTGATTGCGAAGCTTAGAAGTAGGAAGAACATAAGTTGAATACGTAATTCTATTCACCTAGAATACTGGCTATGAAGATGTTTGCTCGTGAAGCCCTTCAATGCTTTTGACAGTGTAAAGTAATAATGTGAAATGCCACTCATCTACTTTTTCTCACAATCAAAAGATGTTGGCAGGGATCGAAACACAGCATAATCAAATGTGAATTTACCAAAATACATCATATATTGCAGTATTGGCAATCCAACCATCACAATAACATTTACAGGAAATTAAAATTCATGAGATTGTTAAGCATGGGGATTTACAGCTAAAAAGAAAACTGATGCATCTTCTGCTCTCTCCCATTCAAGCTAAAAGTAAATTGTCGGGCTTGATAATATTTTCATATTATTCTTATTATAAAAACAAAATTCTATATATTGCATTTGGGTCCATATGCGAACTAAAATTCGAGTTAGAAGTTTAGAAGGTTAATTGAAAGTCTTTACACAAAACAAGTGGTTGTCATCATCACCACTGATACTATCATGTGATTAATAATTATCTACCTGCAAACACCAGAAAAATTGAAGCAAACCTGTCCATGCACATCAGCAGCTATGCCAGTAACCAGTGGCTCTGCCTTTATAACAAAATCTGCTAGGTATATTAGATGGGAAAGAAGCCTTGGAGCTTCCATTTCTGGATAGATATCTTCATGATTCAGAATCACCAGTGAACAATCCTGAAATATACATGATTAAGGAAAGAAGAATGAAGCACGCTAAAAAGAAAGCATGTGTTAGAAAAAAAAATTAAAAACATATAAAATAAGCAAAGGGATTTAGCAAACCTGTTCTGATGTAAGGGTAATACAATAGTGCAGAAAGTCTAACACATGATCCACTGAACCATGAGCAACTATCTCCAAAATCGACAGGTCATCTATCACAATAGAAATGTGAGCCCTACTGTAGTCCCCTGAGGAGCTAACTTCTACGGCCTTCAGGATCTTTGAATACAAATCAACTAGTCCGTGTTCTACGGCATTTTTCTGGATCTCATCTATATAGTTCAAGCATAACATAATAAATTCATGCTTACTATCCTGTAGTTCAAGCTATTAACAAAATAAATGAAGGAAAACAGAACAAATGATGAAAATGCCAATTTGTCTTGCAACTCACTTGGAAACTCCACTTTAAGCATATCTACGAAATGAAACCTATTGTGCTCCCTATGCATTGAAAGATTGCATCCCTGGTTAACATTATAGGAAAAGATTCATCCCCGCCTCTACCAAAGCATAGCAAACAGAATATATAAACATTAAAAAAATTCTAGAAACAACACGTAATAAAGGAAAGAGGAATGAGTACCCAAGTAACATTTCGATGTATTATGGATACACATATGTCAGAAAATGGCTAAAAAAAGCTTCTATAACTACAATGCAAATCATGATTCCTTTAATTATGTTGAGTGTTCTATGGGTGTCAACTCTATTTTTGTGCAGATTTAAACACCGCATAAACAATATTACCTTTGGTCCGAATATTTTTCATTATTGTTCTTTCAAAATGAGCATATACGTGAAAAGGTTGGAGTAGCTCCAGTAGAAGATAAGATTAGAGAGAGTCGCCTTAGATGGTTTGGTCACATAAAAAGGCGGCCTTCCGACGACCCAGTTAGGAGAGTAGAGGTATTAGAGTTGACTTGTGTTAAGAAAGGTAGGGGTAGACCTAAAAAGACTTGGTTAGAAAATATTAGGAATGACCTTTCTTTATTAGATTTAAACGAGAATTTGGCTTTTAATAGGACACAATGGAGAAAAAGGATTCATGTAGCCGACCCCACGTAGTGGGATAAAGGCTTGATGTTGTTGTTGTTGTATTGTTCTTTCAAACAATTTTATTTAGCTACCTAACTGGTTCATCAACTACTCTCCATTGTACATGTGAAAAACAACTTAGACAATTTTTAGTATTTTAAACTTGATAGGTGCCATTGCTTCAACAATCTCTCAAACAATCATATAACATTCTGATAGGAAGTGGATGCACTTTTCACAAAAATCAGTGAATGAAATATGAAAAATTGGGAAGAAAAATACCCCAAAATAATTTGTATTGAAAGAACTATAAAAAAAAATGTAAGATATAATTGGATATTCAATTGTAGAGGAAGATTTGCCCCTTTCAAATCCCTAGCCGCCTGCTAGAGCCCAAATAACTTAAGAATAATCTAAATTCAGCAAACTCCAAAACATCATCCTGAAACCACCCCATACCTGTTAACGGCGAATGGCGCACTACGGTGCAAAGGTCCCTTTGGAATCATGGCGCATAGCACACGGCGAGGCGCACGCCATTTTGAACATGGCGCAAACTATATAAGAACTATAAAATAATAAGTATGAATATGAAATATAATTAAAAATGAAAAACAAGCTATCATAATAATGAAAAATAACCATAACATATATAAGTTCGACTAAGCAACATCCAAATATCTCATAATTCGAATATTACAATATTTTTTAAAAGATAAAATAAGAATTTAATATACTCTTTTTTGGAATCATCATCAGCAGCAAATGTTAAAAAAACTTCATTATCTTCATCAACATTGTCTCCTACTTCATAATCCTCTTCATCACCCTCCTCATCCTCATTCTCAATAGCAACATCATGCCTAATTTAAGATTCTCTCTTTCCCTTTCGATCTTTCACAAATATTATAGCTTTTATCATAAACACCAGTAGTCTTAGCAACACTTGTCCAAGTTAAATTTTCCTCTCCAACAATAAAGTCATTTTCTTCATCAAAATCATCATCTAATTTTCCTATTAAGTACTCATTTGCATCATCTATCTCAGTCAAAGAAATAGGATCAATCACATCACGATGATTGAATCTCTGAATCAGTGCTCTATTATATTTCACATAAACTAAATCCTTTAAGCAACCATGATCCAATTTGCTTCTTCGTTTGCTATGACGCTGCAATTAAAATATTATTACATTACTATATTATGAACATATATAAAAAAGCAACACATATATTGTAAAATACTTACATGTTCAAAAATACTTCAATTGCGTTCGCATATAAATAAACTACATCTTAGACTTAGGACTTTGATAGCAAATTGGGAGCTCCTTGTCCATATGCCAACCATGAATCAACTGGAAGAAATGAATTTTTTTTCAATATCGATTCCCGAAATGCCTTTTTGGATCTTCCTTTATATACTTGCAAATCAGTCTTAATTTTTTTTGTAAATAATAATACATGGAGATCAGATAATTCTTTGTCTTACAACTGGAGAAATACTAAATAGTCCTTCACCCCTAATGTATAAACTTGATTCATTACTGATTTTATCTTCTTTAACTACATCTTGAGATAATCTTTGAATACATTAATAAAGACCATCAGTTATTTCCTTATCCTTGGCAATATCAGAGTTATTAAAGAAATATTCAGAATTTTAAAAATGTTCCAACTAACCTAAGAATAAATTAAATTCAACAAACTCCAAAACATCATCTTGAAATCACCCTATTGTTAGCCTTAAATAGGTTCTCATAATTCCCTCCCAAATCAGCCCGCTTTTTCTAAATAATTCCCTCTCATATTTGTATTCAAATTAGATTTATTTTTCTAATTAATTCCCTCCTAATTGTGATTAAAACTTTTCTAAACAATCTCCCCTTGAATCTTCCTCCTTTTCCCTAAATAATTCTATCTTAAATTTCAAATTCAAAATATCTCTTGCCCTAAATAATTTTCTCCCAATTATAATTTAAACATTCCTAAACAATTCCCTTTCGAATAATAACCTTCCAAAATAGCTACCTCTTTATTAGAAAACTTCCTAATTTCATCCTAATCAAATCGACCAGTCCATCACATTCTCATACTATCTCTTCTAAATTATCATAGATTTATCTTAAAATTCTCACTTTTTCATACATAAGTTGGCTATAAGTGACTCGTTTGTTATATAACACTTGGATAAATATAGTTGATTTATTTGTAATTTCATAGAATTTATTTTAAATCTCCATAATATTTTATTAATGCACTAGAATCCTAAAGCATGTATCCATGTCACCCACATATCTTTTAGCAAAATTTTTATGCCACCATTTATATCATCATTCTTTAATATGATAAGTCCAAAAGGCAAAAATGTCACAATTAAATATCTCTTAACATTTCAACATTAATAATTATTGGATTTCATATTATTACGATAATGTAAAATATGCTTATGGTTGTTAAAAATAATAAAAAATGTGATCTGAGATTTAGCTCTATCAAAAATTGAGAAGAGTCAAAACTCCACTCCAAATAACTAAAAAGTACTTGATTTTGAGTTGATTTCAAGCTCGCCTGAATATAGTGTACAACAATAAAGAAACAAAACATGATTCACTTGAAAATAGTTAGAGTAAACATGTATGTATATTTATATATATGAACGCGCACGCAAGCATTCCATTATTGATAACTTTCTCTTTCATAAAAACTTAGTCCTTAAATCCCATGTATTTTATATATATATAAAGGTCTATATATATATATATATATATATATATATATATATAAGTGATTAAATGTACAACAAAAAGAAACATAACATTCCATTATTGATAGAAATGTCCCCCTCAAACATAATGAAAAATTTTATAAGATGGTAGTTAGACCTACAATGCTTTATGGTGCAAAATGTTGGTCATTAAAAGAGAAGCATAATATTAAGTTAAGTGTTGCAAAGATGAGGATGCTCAGGTGGATGAGTGGCTTTACTCTTAGAGACAAGATATGAAATGAGCATATATGTGAAAAGGTTAGAGTAGCTCCAGTGGAAGATAAGATTCGAGAGAGTCGCCTTAGATGGTTTGGTCACATAAAACGGCAACCTTCTGATGACCAGGTTAGGAAAGTAGATGTGTTATATTTTACTTATGTCAAAAAAAGGTAGATGTAGACCTAAAAAGACTTGATTAGAAAATATTAGAATGACCTTTCTTTATTAGATTTAAATGAGAATTTAACTTTTAACATTGCACAATAAAGAAAAAGGATTAGCCAACCACACATGATGGGATAAAGGCTTGATGTTGTTGTTTTTGTATATAAAAGTCCATATAGTTTAACTTTGTTGTAAAAGGGATGTCATTGTTAGTAACTTAGTGCTCAAGTTTTCAACTTTTTATAAACAAAAACCATGAAAAAATTCTAATGATTTTTGAACCCTAACAAATACACTAAGGTTGAACAAACTATTATAAATTTACTAAAAAAAAATAATATAAATTTACTAAGGTTATCTAGAACTTGGGAAATTTGATTGGGCTTGATGATGAATTACTAAATTGCATCAATCATGGAAAATTTTTTAGGTTATAGAAACCCAAATAATTTTACAAAGGTTCAATGAAACCAATAGATTTTTCCTTAGAGTTTTAATGAAGATAACCCAATTAATTAACCATAATTGTACTAAACTCTATTAATTTCATTAGATTTAGCCAAATATTGGTAATTTTACCTTTGTTTTAAAATTTTATCAAATTTTATAATATAATGATGGTTAAATATCTAAGATGATTCAGTTGACTGAAGCATATTTAATTAAAACTCTTGTCCAAACAAACTAAGAAAGAGCATTTATTTCACTAATATCCTATAGTTTCTCATAGTTGAGCTAAAAAGATCTCGAATGTGGGATCCCACTTAGTCGGATCATGTCAATGCATCGACTTTGAAGGAAGTCCACTTAGTGGGATCCCTCCAAGAAACCCTATCAACAAGTTTCACGATATAGTTGGCAAGCTCTTAGCTCTTAAGAGTTCTATTGGATGCAAATTCAGGTACTTTTGAATCGCTAGTAGAAGAAGTATTGAGAGAGAATTTAAATTAAATAATCATTAAGCTGTTGAGAAAAATTTTATAAAAAAAACATAATATTCAGAAAATATTCATTAAAGCTAAAAAATGATGTCATTCTTTACAATAGACCAAGTTTGAGAACTATAGTATAAATTTAACTTAATTATTTCACAAATTATCCATCATTCACTCACGTCTTTACCTTTAACTAAAGTTTCTTATCTTCAACATTAAGGCTTCGTTTAGTTATCCGGTACCTTTTGTAAAAGGTAGTTTTAGAAATATTGGTTAAGAGAATGGAGCTTTTTAATGGAAAAGCAAATATCAAAAAGCTTCTCAAAACAACAGAAAAATG